GGCCATCTGGGGAGGGGGCACAGGCCTCCGGGAGGGAGTCCCGGGCGGTGGCCGCGGCCATCCCCGTGCGATGGCACCTCCCTCGGGGGAGGTAGCGCTGGCGGTTTCTGGGGAGGGGGCCGTGGTGGCCTCGGGGAGGTGGCTTTTTTTTTTTTTGGAACCTGCATGGGACCGCTCTGACCCCCCGGGGAAGGGGTTTGGGACCTCGCAGCCCTCCTGTGGATGCCCCCCGGGAGCCTCGTGTGGGTTCCATCGATCACTTCCCTCCTGATGTGTGTGTCGCACCTGTTCTCCTTCTAGGGCTGCTCCGAAATCGGGGACGACAGGAAGAACGTGGAGGAGAAAAGTAAGCAGACCCCATACGCCTTAGCGCTGCCCACCAGGCCACCTCTGCGAACCCGGCCCTCCAGGGTCTGCGTCCCAAAGGGGTCTTTTAGATGAAGTGCTTTTATTTTCTGTACAGTATGCTTGCATATTATTAAATACTGATTGTAATGACGCACATATTTTTGTCTTTCTAAAATTGTAAAATACGGGTTGATTTGGAGGAAAGAGCACTTCCTGACCCCTACCTAGTGCAGGGACTTGTGTGGTGTCCCTGGGTTCCTGTCATTGTGGCCTGCCTGCTATTTTAATGAAGCACCGACTTACGGAGCATCAGGAATGTGGAGGGGTTAGTGATCTAGGAGAGATGGACCAACATCTTAATTGGGTTCAAAGGAGTAAAATGATCATTGTTTGGTAAGACTTGACCAGTGAATTTGCGCTTAAAAATTGATCTGAGTCCTCATCGGTTTGGCTCAGTGGATAGAGTGTTGGCCTGTGGACTGAAGGGTTCGAGTCCCGTGGGAGCATATGCCTGGGTTGCAGGCTCAATCCCCAGTGTGGGGTGTGCAGGAGGCAGCCGATCAATGATTCTCTCTCATCATTGATGTTTCTATCTCTCCTTCTCCCTTCCTCTCTGAAATCAATAAAAATATATTTTTTTAAAAAAATTGATCTGACCCCTTCTAGGTTTGGTTCAGTGGATAGAATGTCGGCTTGGGGACCAAAGGGTCCTGGGTTCTATTCTGGTCAAGGGCACGTACCTTGGTTGCAGGCTCCTCCTCGGCCCGGGCCCTGGTCGAGACTCGTGCAGGAGGCAACCAATCGATGTGTTTCTCTTACATCAATGTTTCTTTCTGTCTTTCTCTCTCCCACTCTCCCTAAAAAAAAAAATCAATGGAAAAATATCCTTGGGTGAGGAAAACATTGATCTGAGAAGAACACAATGGATAACTTGGTTCCTGGATCTTGGACTGGACAAGGAAGAGGGAAAGGTTAATACCTCCATCTCCTACTAAGCACAGGAGCATATGTCAGGGATGGGGACATTTGCCATTTTACTTAACTCATTGCTCAGCAGGCTTTTGGAAATCAAGAAATCTTTAGGGGCTTTTGAAGTGAAATTTTTTGGGGAGGAAAGGAAAAGCATGTAAGCCATTCTATCAGAGGGTTTTTGGTTCTTCTGATCCTGGCAAATGGTCTGGGAACGAGAGGTAAGAGAAAGGGTGCCCATGTTACCGTGTTAGCTTTAGGAGCTAAGCTTGCCCTTTACACGGATGTAATCTGCATCAGCAAGAAAGCTCTAAGTAGTCTGTAGCCCTTGACAAATCAGAGCTGTCACAGCTCAGCTCCTTTTCCTTAAGGATTTTTGAGTACCCCATTTCTTTCAGTTAAACCCTCCCCTTTTCCACCTTTGCCCCATTCACATGCCTGGGAGTTGATGCCTGTTGAGCTATCATGTTAATAAAATGATAGACACAGACCGTGGACTTTATCCTTGTTCCTCCTTTGGCTTGGGCAACTTCTTTGCAATTAGGAGTGTTCTTTACAAAAAAGAGAAAAGGAGACACATAAAAACCTCCAAATCATTAATGTGTTATTTTGAAGAAGGTCTTTGACTAAGAACAGTCTGTGCTGTATTTAAATGATTATATCAAGAGTTAAATTTTGTAAGTGAAGATAGAAATTACTCCCTAAGCTAGAGTAACCTTAGCATTCACAAATATTCCCTCTGCACATAGCCCTGCCTGTGTCTGCAGATGTACCACATAACTCACTTGTTTTATTTAAGACTAGAGGCCTGATGCATGAAATGCATGCAAGGGGCTCAGCCCTCACAGTCCCGGCTGCCTTGGCTAGCCTTCGCAGCCCTGGCTTCGTCCGGATGGTTGTTCTGCTATTTGGTCTAATTAGCAAGACATTGTGACTCCTGTATATAACAGTAGAGGGTTTTTTGTATTAATAAAGTTTCATGTGGACCAGCCAATTCTGTTCATATTTGAAGGAGAAGAAAATAAGAGTATTGGGCTGAGAGTCAGAAAACATGGGTTTTAGTCCTATTTACAAACTTTAAGTGTAGGCTGGGAAAATGTTGTAATTTATAGTTGAGAAATTGAGGCATGGACAGATGCAAGTTTTGCTTCTACCTACTAGTTAGTGGTCTACTGATTCTCAAAGCATAAGAACCAGGTTTTCAATTCTTTTAAGTTGAATAAAACAAAGGAAAATTTATTTTGGGGGTGTTGAGGAAAGAAACTCAGTACTAAACACATAGGCATATGTTTTGTTAACCTTTAACATAAGTAATTAAACAATATATAATACGTAGTTACATTTTCACTTTAGGCACATCTTTTCATATATATATTTTTAAATATATTTTTATTGATTTCAGAGAGGAAGGGAGAGGGAGAGAGAGAAACATCAATGATGAGAGAATCATTGATCAGCTGCCTCCTGCATGCCCCCCTACTGGGGATCGAGCCTGCAACCTTATCATGTGGCCTTGATTGGTATCGAACCTGGGACCCTTCAGTCCACTGGCCGACGCTCTATCCACTGAGCCAAACCAGCTAGGGCCATATTTTTATTTTATCAGAAGTGACAGTTGTTTTGTAATGAGGCTGATTATCACCTCTTGGCTTTCTCTCATTGCTGCGTTCTTCAAACTTTGTTTTTGGTAAAGAGCCAAGTTGTACAAGGGCAGCTCCAAGGAATAACAGAGGTGAAAGAGGTGAAGTCCAATCAGTGCTGCTCCCCAGGAGGCTCTGTTTTGTCTCCCAACTTTATCTTTCATGCCACACACTTTCATTTATTTAAAGAAATTGTTCTAGTCCTTGTTTCTAAATATTTGCTAATTTATCCAACTCACCATGAATGATTTGTTTAGAGAGGACCAAATCCTTCAGGCAAACCTGAAGTAAAGAAATGCACTGTATGTTCACATTTATTCCAATGTTTGGTTTCCATGAAGTCACTCTCGCTTTCTCTGGGGCCTTATTTTTTAGTATTTATTTTCATTGGGAGATCAGTCTACATTTTTACATCATCTTGCTTTTGTTTTCATTTTTAATTCCTAGGTACTACTCAAATCTAGGGAGATTAAGCCCTGTATATGGAATAATTCCAGTTGCGGACTGAGTGTAGTTGAGCATGGTTAATGTCAGGGAATTTAATGAGTGCACAGTGAAATGGAGTTACCATTATACCGATCTTGACCCAAAAGTCAGGTGTGCTAAACTCCAGGAAGAAGCAAACCATAAGTAACCAAAAGGGGATAGCGTATGGAAACAGATCCTTCAAAGGGAAAGGTTTATCTTAGCACACTGGGGTGGAGTGGCAGGAGCAAGATATGACAGCCAGCTGTGGGTCATGTCCCTCCTACCTTCTTTGGTAAGAAGCTGCTGGGAGCCTTCAGGTTTCTCTGGGGTACAGGGCACGTTCAGAAAGCCACCCTGGCACAGCTGGTCAGCAAAGGTGTAGCTAGAAATTTGTTTTCTTAAGTGTTTTGTTTAAGTAAAAATGGCAAATTATTATAAGGCGTGAACTCTGGGAAATATCACATACTAAATGGCCTGAGAGCAAAGCTACCGAAAGCTAGTCAGTGTTGCATGTGCTACCGCTCTTCTCTAAAAAATGGCTTCCAGAGCGCCTGTTTTTGTCACATTTAAAAAGTGCAGTGTGGCCGGCCCCAGTGACTCAGGTGGTTGAGTGTTGTCCTGTGCACCGAAAGATTGCCGATTTGATTCCTGGTGAGGCCACATACCTGGGTTGCAGGTTTGATTCCTGGTCCGGGCACATATGGAAGGCAACTGATGGATGTTTCTCACATCGATGCTTCTCTCCCTTCCTCCTCCCTTCTTTTTTTCCCTTCTCTCCTCCAAGTATGTCCTCGGGTGAGGATTAAAAAATAGTAAGTCCAGAGTGAATTAGTCCAAGACTAGTTTCTTTGCCATGGAAAGCATCTCACTTTGGACTGTACACTTCAGTGGATACATCAGCCATTTCGTTTCCCCTCGTAATTTGTGTTTTCTCTCAGATTTCCTTTTTACAGTTTTTTTTCTGTTTCTGACATGAACATCTTCATACAATGACATTTGAAGATTTTTTTCTTTTTTTAATATATCTTTTTTTTTTAAATATGTTTTATTGATTTTTTACAGAGAGGAAAGGAGAGGGATAGAGAGTAAGAAACATTGATGAGAGAGAAACGTCGATCAGCTGCCTCCTGCACACCCCCTACTGGGGATGTGCCCACAACCAAGGTACATGCCCTTGACCGGAATCGAACCTGGGACCTTTCAGTCCGCAGGCCGACGCTCTATCCACTGAGCCAAACCGGCTACGGCTTTTTAAATATATCTTTATTGATTTCAGAGAGGAAGGGAGAGGGAGAGAGATAGAAACATCAGTGATGAGAGAGAATCATTGATCGGCTGCCTCCTGCACACCCCCTACTGGGGATTGAGGCCGCAACCTGGGCAGGTGCCCTTGACTGGAATCGAACCCCGGACCCTTCAGTCTAAAGGCCGGCACTCTATCCACTGAGCCAAACCAGCTTGGGCGACATTTGAAGGTTTAAAAAAAAATTTTTTTTTTTTTAGTAAGAATATCACTGCATTTATTTTCATACAGGTAATTTTTCTACAGCTTTAACATTTTCCTCTCAAAAATAAAAGCTTAGAACTGGATCCCTTGGCCCTTTCTCTTCTTATCTCCTCCCAGTTCAAAATGCTTGCATCTCTTAATGGCCAGCATCCCCTCTGATCTGCACATAGGCTCTACACATTCAAGCCTCAGCACAGTCTTCTTTGTGGTTTTAGCTTCTTTTCGGGAAAATCGGCTTTGTCTGCCACCGTAGCCACTCTGCTTCCTGTCATAGCGCCTCTTTCCCTGGGCGTACAGGGAATCCTTCCCCTTCTTACACTGGGTCACTTTGTGAGGCTGATGCTTTCCACACTCCTTACAGAAAGTCCTTCGGGTTTTAGGCACATTGGCCATCTTGGCAGTAGAGCTGTCTGTACGATGGAAACAAGAAAGTCGTAGTCCACACTCCCCGCTTCGCTTAGCTTGCGCCTCGGTTTTAAAACTTTTTTACTCTTACAAAAGGAGGAATTTTTACACATTGGTCACTCTTTCAAATTTTTTTCATATACTTAAAATCTTTTAATACTATTTTTTTTTCTTTTTTTAACATCTTGAAAACAGTCCTACCATCTGGTTCCTTACAGATTTTAAAAATATATTACTAATTTAGTAAACACTGCACCAATAAAATCAGATTTGACCTTTTCCCCCCAGTAGTAAAATAGATTATTAAGAAGTAAGGTCTCCTACAAAACTTCAGTATCTGTTTGTAACTGCATTATTTTGCCAATATCTATTGAAACCTGTGGTTACTAGGACTTTAGGAATTTCTCATTCACTCTGAGAAATTTTCTCAGCTCTTAAGCATTTTGTAATACTTGATCCATAGATTGCTTTATAGTTACTCATTTGGCTATTTCTGTGTATGATACAAACACATAAAATATATACACAAAAATATCCAAATGAATATAGATAGTGCATATATACATGTACATATGCATATACATGTATACATGCACTATATATACTCATTTGGGTATAAACATTTTTTGTATATGTGTGTGTGTATGATATATAATTTACTGTATATAGATAGTTTTCTTTAATAACTTTTGAAGGTAGGTATAGTGCCTTGTATAGTTTTTGTATTTCCTTTAACTCTGTAGTACTTACTGGTATTGATTAATTGCTTTTCTTTCATTTTAGGTGACATAAATAGTGCAGCTCTTGTTGGAAATGAACAAGTCAGCAAAGTTACAGATAATGGTGATCTCTCTTCGTATGTGTCTGCATTTATAGAAAAGGAAGTTGGACATGACCTTAAATCTTTAAAGAAGCTTGATAAACTCATAGAACAGATGACAGAAAATAAAATGCAGTTAGAGGAACAGGCAAGTATTAAAACTCACGGAAATATTAGTAGTATACTCATTATAATTAATATAAACATTATTATTATATAGTTAATATGAATATGCAAGCTCATATGTAGTTGAAATATGTATAGCTTAACATTTCATGATTAATATAGGACTTGTTTTCCTATCAATATAAATCTATCTTTTTAAATGGCTTTATGATATTTAAATATGTTTTTACATACATAATTTATTTAACCAGGCCGTTATGGTGGACATTTTTGCTGTTCTGTTTTTATTACAAATAATATGAGAATAAACATAATTGTTCTTCACCTTACCTTTCTAAGTCATAAATCTAACTGAATTATTCCCTTATTAAAAACTCTTATTGGAAAAAGCCCACATTCTCCTGAGGCACAAGATGCTACCTGTGACCTGGTCTCTCCCTAGCTATTTAGGCTCATCTTTTCTCTCCATGTTTCTTTCTCGAATCAATGTTTCTTTCCCTCTCTCCTTCCCTCCCTCTCTCTAAGCATGCCCTCGGTGAGGACAGTTTCTTTGGACTGTATTCTGTGCCCCAGTCAGATCTTTGCTGACTGAGCTGTTCCTCTGTCTGGAATGCCCTTTCCTTCCATAGTTCCCTAAAAAATTCCTACCGTTCCTACAAAAGTCTGTGCATGAACCCTGCCAGCACAACTGCCTTGTACTTCAAAACCTTGCTACTCAGAGTGTGGTGCTCAGTCCCTACTTCAGACCTACGGAGTCTGAATAGGCATTGTAACCGATCTCTGGGTAATTCTTATACATTCAGGTTTGGGAAGCACTACCTTAGTACACCATCGCACCTAGCATCTCCTTTATTTCATCAATCCACTGTTGAAATATTTGCTTACATTTTTCTTCCATACCAACTGATCTTTAATGGCAGATGCCGTGTCTTATTTATGTCTATCCCTAGCACAGTGCCTGGTACAGAGTGTCCAATCAGTATTGATTAAATTAAAATTATTCTATAATTTTTTTTATATTGTACTGATGCCTAATATTTGTATATGTTCTTCCATGTGGCTGGAAAGTACTCTCTGAAAGTACTGAGCTTCATGAAGGCAGATCCATAGATGCTTACAGGGGGTCAGTGTGATGTACCTCTCCCTACTTAGGTTTCGTTGGTACAGGATGCAGAAATCAGATTTTTCTTTTGGAGCTTTTAATTGATACTTTTCTATTCTATTACAGTGGTTCTCAACCTTCCTAATGCCGCGACCCTTTAATACAGTTCCTCATGTTGTGGTGACCCCCAATTTCATTGTTACAAATTGAACATAATTAAGGCATAGTGATTAATCACAAAAACAATATGTAATTATATATGTGTTTTCTGATGGTCTTAGGCGACCCCTGTGAAAGGGTCATTCGACCCCCAAAGGGGTCGCGACCCACAGGTTGAGAACCGCTATATTAGAACAAACATGTATTTTGAAGGTAATGAATGAATAAAAAAGGCTATGCAAATTTCATCTGATGGCTGCTGTTTTTTGTTTTTGGTATGATCAGGTACTTACGATTTCATCAGAAATCCCTAAAAGAATTCAGAATGCCTTAAAAAATGCAGAAGAATCAAAGCAGTTTCTTAATCAGTGTCTGGAGCAAGAGACTCATCTAGTCAGTTCCATTGGTAGCCATTTGCTGACTGCACAGCCCTGGATGGAAGATCTTGGGGCCATGATTAACCAAATTGAAGAGATAGAACGGCATCTCGCTTACCTTAAATGGATTTCACAAATTGAAGAACTAAGGTAAAATGGGTTTCTTTGTCCTCATAATTATTATTTTCCCTTGAGGCTTTGTCTTAGAGATTGCATGCATGCCATTAAATAATTGAGTTAATTAAAGATTATAATAATGTAATTTTACCAGTTGTTATTAAATTAGCATTATGATAATGATTCTTTTCCTTTATTGTGAATGAATATAAACTTTTCAGGGAGCTTAATTTGCATTTGAAAGAAAGTAATCTAAGTAAAAATTTTAAATCTTATAGTTGTATTTGAACACATGATAAAAACCACTTTTTATAATGCTAGATTAATAACATATTCCCTCAGTGTGATAATAATCCTTTTTACTTTTTAGAGATGGCCACTTAATAAAATAGATTACTTTCACTATAATTTGAATTTTTTTCAGTGGGCATCATCTAATAAGAGCTACAAGTGTTCTTAGATGAATAAGAGTTCTACTTTTTTTCCCTAGCACAGTTACTTTTCTTAATAACATGTTTTTTTCTGTAGGTCTTTTGTGATACATCTCTATTTCTAGCTCTCTTTTTGAATTGAATACATACCACTGGTGGCTGGTTGTGTATTAGCTTTCAAATAAGCTAAATTAACATTTCTGCCTAGGCTGGCAGATTATTTGGTTTCATGATATAGTCCTCCAACCCCTCTAAACTATACTATTTCATTTTTGCTTTAACTGCTCTTCCCTCAAAGCTGTCAGCAACCATTAAGGGAAAAAAGTCATCCAAGAGTCTGATGTCTCATTTTAAATGTATCATCCTATATAATAAAAGGGTAATATGCAAATTGACCGAACAGCAGAATGACCGGTTGCTATGATGCGCACTGACCACCAGGGGGCAGACGCTCAACGCAGGAGCTGCCCCCTGGTGGTCAGTGTGCTTCCACAGGGGGAGCGCCGCTCAGCCAGGAGCTGGCTCACAGCTGGCGAGTGCAGCAGCAGTGGTGGGAGCCTCTTCCGCCTCTGCGGCAGCGCTAAGGATGTTTGATTGAGGGGTCCCGCGCTGCAAGAGGGCCGGGCTGAGGGACACCCACCCCCAGTGCACGAATTTTGTGCACCGGGCCTCTAGTAGTTTATATATTTTATGTTATTTCTTCCAAAGAGTAATACCGTATCACTTTGTCCTGCATATGTTTCCTGAGATTTAAATAATTTTACCTATCAGTACAATACGAAAATTTTTGTTTGCATACATGTTTTACCTTTACAGAAAAAGTGATATGCCTAAGATTGTAATATTATTAGCAATTCCAGAAGTTGACTTAAGCTTTTTAGAGTGTCTCTTTGTTTAGATAAATTCTTTATAGTGAAAGAATTTTAAACCTTGCTTAGTTTACTAGTACTTCTTTTTTCCTTGCCCTCTGAAAGAAAATACTAAAAAGGGATAATATTAATAACCTTAAGTTATTGTAATAAATTATAACCTTATTAGGTAAAAGCTTCAGTCTTATAGTAGATTAATTAAAATAGGGCCATAGTTATAAGTAGCCTTTTTCTGGTGTTGAAATTGTTTAAAAGAAAATATGCCCAGGGAGTTACATTAGAAATAGGAATCAAACTCTTAATCAAGTAGAGCAGTTATGTCTCTCTTTAATAACATGTTTTTTCCCGTAGGTCTTTTGTGATACATCTCTATTTCTATTTCTAGCTTTCTTTTGGGCTCCTGAGACTTTCCTTATCTCTTAATTTTCCTTTAATGACTGTTTTTATTCTGTAGCACTTTTTTTTTTTAAAGTAGTTTCTTCTTTCTAGAAGTAGCATCTTTACATTTAACCCTGTTTCTTGAATACTACAGTTCAACAGTATCACTCTGAATGAACCCTATAACCCTGGCTTTTCCTATGCTCTGAATGTCATTCATGCTTCATGTTGTGTGGAGATCTGATCCAGGTCGGTACTCCTGTATTCCGTGGTTATTTGTACATTTTAAAATTTCTTTTATAACATATAGGCATTTCTTTAACATGGTAGTCTTTGTTTTAACATAACGCAACACTTAGTTTGGATGTCTTCAAAGTGGGAAATCAGTGAGATTTGCCATAACGCACAGGGAAGAACCTCATACAGGAGCAGTTAATTGTGCATGCTAACCATCAGAACAAGAGCAACTACCAGCATCTTTTTGTTAATCCTCATCCGAGGATATTTTTCCATTGATTTTTAGGAAGAGTGGAAGAGAGAGGGAAAGACAGAGAGAAACATCAATGTGAGAGAAACACATCGACTGGTTGCCTCCTGCATGAGCCCCGATGAGGGCCTTGGCCGGGGAGGAGCCTGCAACCAAGGTATGTGCCCTTGACCGAAATCGAACCCGGGACCCTTTGGTCTGCAGGCCAATGCTCTCTCCACTGAGCCAAACCGGCTAGGACTACCAGCACCTTAATTACAGAAATGGTGGATTTGTTGATGCCCAGTGGGGGAAAAAATAGTATTTTAAATTCTGAGAATAACTATAAAAGACAAGATCTGTTCGAAATTTTAATAAAAAATATTAGTAAGGGAGAAGAAAGAAAAGTGAGAGAATGAGTGTAGGGGATGGCTAAAAGGGCCGGCAGAATAATACAAACATGAGCTTAGTATTCTTGTTGAGGCCTGAAACAGTGACAGTGGAAACCTCAAGCAGCTCCTTGAGAAAGGAGAGGAAAATACTAGTGCAGAGTAGAGCTGGCAGGGTGGGCTACACCTTTCTCTTTGTGAGGAAGCGCTGTGTCTACCCCAGGAACATGACTGAACCGCACACCCAACCGGGTAGGAGAGTCCCAGCACATTCGTCATCTTCCAGCACAGTGGCCAAGCGCCCAGGTAGAACGAGCATAGGCTGCCTAGTGGAGAAGTACTTCAGGTTTCCTGCAGGGGTGACCCCTGCACTGAGATTCATTACTGAAAAGGTTACATTTTATTCCTTATTCTTAGATGACTTTAAGGTATGGAATATATTATTTTTATAAAAAGAAACAATTCATTTTAAAATAAAAGGTTTTGCTTTATAGAGCCCAAATGGTAGCTCATAGGCTGAATTTGTCCTAAAGATATGTTGAATTTGGCTTGTTTTAAAGAATTTGAATAATTGGTTTGCTTTTACATGAAAATCTTTCTTCTTTTTAAATTCCTCTCCTGAGGATATGGTTTGGGTTTGTTTGTTTGTTTTTAATTGTATTTTAGAGAGGGGGAAGGAGGGGAGGGAGATCCCGGGGATTAAACCTGCAACTTGGGTAGGAGCCCTGATCAGGAATGAAACCCGAAACGTTTTGGTATATGGGACAGTGCTCCAGCCAACTGAGCCACCTAGCAGGAGCTTACATGAAAATCTTGTTTTCCTTCCTTTCTGGAAAAATTTTAAGATTTGGCCACATTAGATCCACCCTTTAGTGTGGCAACAATTGGCTGGAGCCTTAGGATACTCGATTACCCACCCACTTTGCTTTTTTGAATTTACTTTCCCTATTAGGCCTTTGTAGGCATTTGAGTTTGCAACCCTTGCTGTAGAGCTTACCTTAAATTTTATCTGGAACTTTTCTAACGAATTTGAAAGGCCTGGATTCTAAGGTGCCTAAAATTCAGTTCCTTATAATCAGGTTCAACTGGGCAAAGTAGGTAAAGTCTTCAATCCCTTGGATTAAGATACTAAAGACTACAAAAAAAAAAGAAAAGAAAAGAAAGATAATAAAGACTTCTGTAAAAGGCAGATTTATCAGAAATGAGCAGTGCGTGAGGGAATGTGACCCAGGATAAATCTGTTCTGTTGGGAGGAGTGGGAAGGGCAAGGTGTAGGGAGGTCTTGACCATGGGCAGCTGTTCTCTAAGAATTTGAAGACTCTAGGCTCCCAGAGACATGGGTATCAGGTAAAAAAGCCACTTCTGTGTGGTGCTTCTTTCTTCCTTGGATTAATTTTATATAAAACAGGAGGGAGAAGCAGTTTTTCTGCTTTGGAATTATTTTAAACTGTCTTTAAAGTTTGCTTTGCCTTGTTTTGCAGTGATAACATTCAGCAATATCTCATGACCAACAATGTCCCTGAGGCAGCCTCTACTCTGGTGTCTATGGCAGAACTTGACATCAAGCTACAGGAATCATCCTGTACTCATCTTCTTGGTTTCATGAGAGCCACTGTTAAATTCTGGCATAAAATTCTCAAGGACAGGCTTACAAGGTAAGGAATTTACTCATATTTTATGGTAATTACTTTTATATAAATATTTGGTGATCGTTGGATTTTATTGAAGTATGTGTATTACTTTTCTGTTACAGTGATTTTGAGGAAATTTTAGCACAGCTTCATTGGCCATTCATCGCACCCCCTCAGTCTCAAACTGTTGGCTTAAGTCGACCAGCCACTGCTCCTGAGATATATAGTAACCTGGAGACACTATTTTGTCAGCTTCTGAAACTACAAACCTCGTATCTTTGTTGGAGTTAAAACTTACTAAAATTTATTTTTCTATGGTAGATTTGTGACTAGAGAGTAAAACTTTTTGAAAGTGGCCAAAAGCCAAATGGGACTGGTTTGGACTTGATCTGTATAAGCTCACAGAGTGGTAGATTGTTTTCTTTCGTAATGAACTGCATGTGGGTGGCAGGGCAAGGGTCAGCCTAAAATACGTAACTGACCCAACTTTGACTCACATAATCTCTTGGGACAGTAGATAAAAATGGGTAGTTGGAAGGAAACCTATTAACTTAGTGTTAATTTAATAAAATGATTACTTGAATGTGTTTTTTTCTACTATTTTTTAAGAAAGACATATTAATTCTAATAACATTTTTCATGCTTTTTCTAACTAATGTATAGGAAGATTACATATTATTGGTGTTACAATTTTTACTTAGTATCCTATATCTTTGTTGGAAAAATGTATGTGTGCATATACACACATACACGTATGCTTTTGATTCTTTTCCCTTGACTTGACTATGTCAGAGATGAATTACTTACTGAGCCAAAACAACTTCCAGAAAAATACTCTCTTCCTGCATCCTCTTCTGTCATCCTGCCCATCCAGATTATGCTGACTCCCCTGCAGAAGAGGTTCAGGTATCACTTCAGAGGGAACCGACAGACTAATGTTATAAGCAAGGTGTGCTTTGCCAACTCTTGTCCTTGGTTTTTATTAATAGCAAATATTAAGGATTTCTGTACTTTCCCTTTAACCAAGTTAAAATCTGATCCTATTGACATTTCTCTAAAGATGTGAATACCTGTTTTGTCACTGCCCTTTATAGATATACCTAGAGGCCCGGTGCACTACATTCGTGCACTGGGGCGGGGGGCCCTCAGCCTGGCTTGCGCCCTCTTCCAGTCCGGACCTCTCCGTGGACATCCCCTGAGGGGGTATTGGTAGAAAGAACAGTAGAACCAATTAGTAAGTAGTGAGACAAAGCAATCAACCTAAAGTTGTAGAGAGGTAGTAGTAATTTGAGGTAAGAAAATTATGAGTTATGTTGGTTGCTTTTTAAAGTGTGGTTCCAGTGGTCCAGGTACTCTGACATCAAGCCTAAACTATGCAGCTCCCGAAATTTGAGATTGCCGCTTACTCATTTTTGTATTCCTAACATCTAGCACACAACAGGGATTTACCATTCATTAAATGTTTAATCCCTGTCTAGCAAAACTTTGAAATTTTATGTAGTCATCTCTAGGGACAATTTAAAATGCTGCATACTTACATTTCCTATTATATAATTATACCTGTTTTAAGGCATGTATAATGTTTGTGATGTAGACCAGCCAAATTTTTTTCTTAATTTAACTTTTGAAAAGAAAAAGCAGAAAATAATGTTTAAAAATTGCTCTGGCTGGTTTGGCTCAGTGGATAGAATGTCGGCCTGCGGACTGAAGGGTCCCGGGTTTGATTCCGGTCAGGGGCACATGCCTGGGTTTTGGGCTCGGTCCCCAGTGGGGGGCGTGCAGGAGGCAGCCTATCAATGATTCTCTCTTATCATTGATGTTTCTATCTCTTTCTCCCTCTCCCTTCCTCTCTGAAATCAGTAAAAAAAAAAATTATTTTTGGCCCTAGTCAGTTTAGTTCAGTGGATAGCTTGTCATCTTGTGGACTGAAGGGTCCCGGGTTCGATTCTGGTCAAGGGCACATGCCCGGGTTGCGAGCTCAATCCCCAGTAAGGGGCGTGCAGGAGGCAGCCAGTCAATGATTCTCTTTAATCATTGATGTTTCTATCTCTCTCTCCCTTGCCCTTCCTCTCTGAAATCAATAAAAATATATTTTAAAAAATTATTTTGGGTCCTGGCCAGTTTTGCTTAGTGATTAGAGCGTCGGCCCAAAGACCGAAGGGTCACAGGTTTGATTCCTGGTCAAGGGCACGGTTGGGGTGAGAGCAGAGGCAACCAATCAATGTGTCTCTCTCACATCGATGTTACCCCCCAACCCCCCGCTTCCACTCTCTCTCTAAAAACAAATAAAATCTATGAAAAAGATATTCTCACTCGGGTAAGGTCTAAAAAAAATTATTTTGGAATGTTACTTCAAAAAAATAAACTATTTAGATGCCTGACATTTCAAACGTGTGTTAGCCTAGATGAACAAGAACAATGGACAGGGCTGGTTTTAAAAATAAAAAGGTGGAATATAAAAAAACAAAAAAACAAAAAAAAAAACTATTTAAAGGTCATCAGTTCTTTGGAACACTGATTTTATATATTTGTAAATGCTAGTTTTTAAATATAATGGCATAAATTTGAGTTTATTGATGTAAGCCACATTACTGGAATTTGTTGGGAGTATATTAGGAAACATTTGATTATTAAGCTTTCATGAGTTTAAAATTCAGAGTAGAAATTGTGCTCTTACATGTAGGAATTTTCAACTAATTTTTGTAAGTGTTGTGTGTATACAATGAAATAGAGCCATTTAACTGTAACTCTAGTTGGAATAACTAAAGAAGTCAAACTATTTTACCTCCTTTCCTAGCCTGAATGGTACTTGACTCAAGTGCTGATGTGGATTGGGAACCACACACAGTTTCTGGATGAGAAGATTCAGCCAATATTAGACAAAGCAGGCTCTTCAGCAAATGCAATGGTAAGAGACTCAGTCCTAAGCATTCCAGTGTTAGAGTGTCCACGAATAGCTTGTCATGTATATTACCTTATGCTTGCTTATGTATTTCTTTTAGCTTGAATTTTCTCGGGGCCTTATGATGCTGGTTCTGGAGAAGTTAGCAGCTGATATTCCTTGTCTGCTCTATGATGACAATCTCTTCTGTCATTTGGTGGATGAGGTGCTGTTGTTTGAAAGGGAGCTACACAGTGTTCATGGCTATCCTGGCACTTTTGCTAATTGTATGCATATTCTATCAGAGGAAACCTGTTTTCAGAGGTGGCTGACTGTGGAGAGAAAATGTAAGTGCTCATGTAGCCATGGGGAGAGATGTCCCTTTTTGTGCATATTAATTTTTGGTGTTTTTCTCCAAGAAATTTCTTGGTCAGAGTTTACCAAGTTGCCTTTAGAGGTCATTTTCTTTTCTTCTCATCAAACGTTAGTTTTCTTCTATAATTGCACTCTCTGTGTTTCTAGAGTGGATTATTTAAGCCTGTAGAATATATATATATATTTAACTGTTTTATAAATTTTTACATACAGTAGTTCTGCTCTTGGTAGAATCATTTTGGATGCAGCTTGTCTAGTCAGTATAACTATTTTGAAGGTTTTGGGTAGGGTTGGCAGGGAGAAGTATCTTGTTTAACCTTAAAGTAGAGCATGTTAAATATAGTGCAACTAGTATAAGAGGCTGTTGATTTATTTTTTATAGAAAAGTCATCATTCCTAAAAAATTGCGAGCTGAAAAATTAGAAATGACTGTAACTACTTGACATAATCCTTTCTTTGCATTATCAGTTGCTCTTCAAAAAATGGACTCAATGCTTTCATCAGAAGCTGCCTGGATATCCCAATATAAGGATATCACTGATGTGGATGAGATGAAAGTTCCAGACTGTGCAGAAACTTTTATGACGCTCCTCTTAGTTATAACTGGCAAGTATAAGTCTTTTAAGATAAAACTTTGTCTTAAAAGTACTAACTCTTGCCCTAGCCAGTTTGGCTCAGTGGATAGAGCATTGGCCTGCGGACTAAAGAGTCCCAGGTTCAATTCCAGCCAAGGGCACATGCCCAGGTTGCGGGCTCGATCCCCCCTGAGGAGATGTGCTGCAGGAGGCAGCCAATCAATGATTCTCTCTTATCATTGATATTTCTATCTCTCTATCTCTCTCCTTTCCTCTCTGAAATCAATAAAAATATATTTTTTTAAAAAGTACTAACTCTTCCCATGATACTTTTTTTTTTTTAAAATATATTTTATTGATTTTTTACAGAGAGGAAGGGAGAACGATAGAGAGTTAGAAACATCAATGAGAGAGAAACATCGATCAGCTGCCTCCTGCACACTCCCCACTGGGGATGTGCTGGCAACCAAGGTACATGCCCTTGACTGGAATCGAACCTGGGACCCTTGAGTCCGCAGGCTGACGCTCTATCCACTGAGCCAAACTGGTTAGGGCCATGATACTTTTTTAAAGTAGTTTAACAAAATTAATATTACATAATAGTTATTATAAGATCTTCAAATTCAGTTTCTATTTTGGCAGAACTCTGGCATAATATCCTAGGTTTCATATTTTTAATAATTTAAGATCTTAAACATTGGTATATATGAGGGGAAATTCATGAATTGTTACATAAAAACAAATGGGAAATTGATTTTACTACCTGAATTCTCTCGCCACTTAGTTTGTGATTGACCAAAATTTTAAATATTCCAAAGATTGCAGAAAGTAACTTTAGGGGTTAAGGTAGTAATAGAAACTCTTCTAATAGTGCAAGAATATTCTGGCCAGAGGGAGGCCTAACAGCCTCGAACCTGGTTGGTCTGCAGCATCTGCATGGCTCCCTGCAGGCCTCTGGCTCTGCAGGTGCCACCGTGTCCTCTCTACCTCCATCCTCTCTGTCTTGTCCATTTCTTGGGCCTGCATGTGTAACCCGAAAAAGTGTTATTCCAGCCTCGTCAGTAAATAATTCCATTATCTGCAACTTAAGGAAAATATGAAATCACAAACATAAAAATTTTAGAAAAACTCATGCTTTAAAAAAAAAAAATTCTTTATTGTTGAAAGTATTACATATGTCTGTCTCCTTTTGTCCCCCATTGGTCTTTTTTTTTTTTTTTTTTTTTTTTTTAATACATTCTTACTGATTTTTGAGAGAAAAGGAGAGGGAAACATAGAAACATCAATGATGAGAATCTTAGATTGGTTGCCTCCTACACGCCCCTCTCTGGGGATCAGAGCCTGAAACTCGGGCATGTGCTCTGACCGGGAATCGAACTGTCACCTCTTGGTTCATAGGTCAGCGCTCAACCACTGAGCCATGCTGGCTGAGCTAAAGAAAAACTTTACTTTTTATTACGGAAATTTTCTTCTTTTTAAAGAAAAATGTTTTTAAAATATATCTTCATTGATTTTAGAGAGAGAGGGAGGATGAGAGAGAGAGAGAGAGACAGAAACATCATTGTTGTTCCACTTATTTTTGCATTCATTGGTTGAATCTTATATGTGCCCTGACTGGGGATCAAACCCGCAACCTTGGCATATTGGGATGACACTCTAATCAACTGAACTACCCGGCCAGGGCCAAGGGAAGTTTTTAAACATACATAATGTAGCATAATATAATGAACCCTCAGGTATATGTTATTAAGGTTTTCTTAAATTCTCATCTTTCTATTATATATTTTTCTCCCCAACTCTTTTTTTTTTCCCCTGGAGTATTTTAAAGAACACTTCAGACAGCTTACCATTTCACCTATAAATTCTTTTTTTTTTTCACCTATAAATTCTTATGTAGGTATCTATTTTAACCTATCCTAGTTCCTCCTTCCTTTTATTTTTATTTTTATTTATTTATTTATTTATTTATTTTTTAAATATATTTTATTGATTTTTTACAGACAGGAAGGGAGAGAGATAGAGAGTTAGAAACATCGATGAGAGAGAAACATCGATCAGCTGCCTCCTGCACATCTCCTACTGGGGATGTGCCCGCAACCCAGATACATGCCCTTGACCGGAATCGAACCTGGGACCCCCCAGTCCGCAGGACGATGCTCTATCCACTGAGCCAAACCGGTTTCGGCTCCTCCTTCCTTTTAAAAAAATGTCATTTATTTATTGTAGAAATGGAGTGCTTTTTAAAAAAAAAAATATTTTTATTGATTTCAGAGAGGAAGGGAGAGAGAGATAGAAACATTAATGATGAGAGAGAATCATTGATTGGCTGCCTCCTGCACGCCCCCTACTGGGGATCGAGCCTGCAACTCAGGCATATGCCCTTGACCGGAATCAAACCCGCGACCCTTCAGTCCACAGGCCTACGCTCTATCCATTGAGCCAAGCCGGCTATGGCAATGGAGTGCTTTTTGTATATAATTATTTCATATGTCCTTTAAAAAATTGAGGCATGATTTATATACAGTGAAAAGCATAGATTTTATGTATACAGTCCAGTGAGTTTTGACAAATATATAGACTTGTGAAACCCACATCCTTAGAAAATTTAGAAATAGATCCATACTTGAATGGTCAATTGATTTTTGACAAGGGCACCAAGGCATATCAGTAGGGAAAACCTATAGCTATATCATATTCAGTACCAAAAACCTTCATATGTTTTGTTAACTTTCTCCACAGACAGGTATAAAAATCTTCCCACAGCTTCCAGAAAGCTGCAGTTCCTGGAGTTACAGAAAGACTTAGTAGATGATTTTAGGATACGACTGACTCAGGTGATGAAAGAAGAGACCAGAGCTTCCCTTGGCTTTCGATACTGTGCGATTCTTAATGCTGTGAACTATATCTCAACAGTGCTAGCAGACTGGGCTGACAATATTGTAAGTTAATGTGCTTTTATATTGAATAATACATTAGTAGTACGAATAGTTTTACCTTTTGAAATGTTGATTCTATAGCAAGCAAAAATACACATTAGGCAGAATAACAATTAGGCCAAACTTAAAAGGTGTGATTAAAGTACATATTTTTCTCAATCAACTCTCAAATGGTTAAATAATCCTGATATTTTCATCATTGGGGAAAAAAAGCCAACATTTCATGAAATAGTTGTTTATAGTTCTCTTTAGACTTTATCCTTGGGAATTACTTGTATGGTAATTGTCATCTCAGAAAAGTCAATAAAATCCAGAACTTTAAGGAAAATAAAATAATAACACTTGATATCTCTTGAATGCCTCAAAATGTGACAAATTATGGAAAATCACAAAAAATATAAACTATTTTAAAATTTTTAATGATTTCGTACATTAAAATTATTTGTTTATTTTCAAACATATACAAGCATAAATAGAATAATAAAATGAATCTGCATATGACTATCACCCAGCTTCTCATACCAGTTTTGTGTCATTTTAAACAAAATGAAACCTCCACTCCCCATGTTTGATTATTTGGAATCAAATCTCAGATATCATGTTTCTTGGTAAATATTTTAATATATATACCTCTGAAAGATAAGAGCTCCCTTTTAAAAAAAACATAACTACCATACCATTATCACATCCAAGAAAATTAACTAATTAAATTATTGGAAGGTATGTTTTAAATAAATCTAAATATCAAAACGTTGGGTCCAATTAACAAGTACTGTAAGACCTTTTACCTCCAATAATTTTACTTACCCATCTTTTCTCCATGTAGATTCCATGTGTTGACAGATTTGGTCTGCCTAAATATATATTAACTGGTAATTTATTTTTACTCTTTTTATTAATCCAAGGAATATATTGGGTGTTAGGGCTTTGTTAACCAGATTTTCCAATATATACTTCCAGAAACTTAGCCTTCCTAATTTAACATACATAGATTAATGCCTATAGCTGTTTTAGACATTAAAATGATCCAGAAGGCCTCCAAGAACTCCTTCTTAGGGTACCCTGGGGTTAAGAATTGCTATTCTAAGATCATCTGTGTGATATAAAAATCAGCTTGGGGTTTCACCAGCTTGTGCAATGACATAGGTTTCATGACAGGAAGCCTTAACAGAAAATTAAGATGATCATAAAACAGTGAAATAAATATATTTAGGTGAAAAAACTAAAGTGAGAATAATGAATATGAAGATACATTATAAAGTATTATATAATTATATCATGAAATGAAACTAGAAAAGTAAAATGAAAAACAGTTTGCTCAAACATTTGTAATATAGGGATCCCAGAAGTAAAAGAAAAAGAGAAAGGAACAGGAACTTTATTTAAAGAAAAAATGGCTGCCCTAGCCTGCTTGGCTCAGTGGATAGAGCGTTAGCCTGTGGACTGAAGGGTCCCAGGTTCGATTCCGGCCAAGGGCACATACCTGGGTTGTGGGCTCGATCCCCAGTGGGGGGGTGTGCAGGAGGCAGCTGATCAATGATTCTCTCTCATTATTGATGTTTCTATCTCTCTCCTTCTCCCTTCCTCTCTGAAGCCAATAAAGAAATATATTTTTTTAAAAAAGAAAAGAAATAATGCCTGAAAACTTTTGTAACCTGGGAAAGGAAACAAACATCCTGGTTCAGGAAGCACAGAGAGTTCCAAACAAAATGAACTCAAAGATACCCACACTAAGACATAATGTAATTAAAACGGCAAAAGTTAGAGAGACCTTCTTGAAGGAGGCAAGAGGTAAAAAACAGTAAAACCCCAATAAGGCTGTGAGCTGATTTTTCAGCAGCAACTTTATAGACCGGAAGGGAGTGGCAGGATATTTTTAAAGAGCTAAAAGAAAGGAACCTACAACCTAGAATAATTTATCCATCAGGGTTATCCTTCAGAATTTAAAGAGTTTCCTGGCTTGGCTGCCATGGCTCAGTGGTTGAGCTTCGACCTATGACTCAGGAGGTCACGGTTGGATTCCTGGTCAGGGCACATGCCCAGGTTGCAGGCTTGATCCCCAGTGTGGGGCCTGCAGGAGACAGCCAATCAATGATTCTCTGTCATCATTGATGTCTCTCTCTTTCCCTCTCTCTTCCTCTCTGAAATCAATAAAAATATATTTAAAAAAAAAGTTTCCTGGACAAACAAAAACTAAAGTAGTCCATCATCATTATACCAGCTTTACAAGAAATATTAAAGGGTCTTCTTTAAGCAGAAAAGGGAAGTTCATAACTAGAAATAGGAGAAAGGAAAAAAATCTCATAGGTAAAGCCAAATACTTAATAAATATAGCATATCATATATGTAAGAAGCTACTACAAATGTCAAAAGAAAAAGTATCAGACTTAAACCATGAGTAGTTAGGAGATGCACAATAGAAAAAGATCTAAAACATGATATCAATAATGTAAAGCATGGGAGGGGGAGTAAAAATTGTCCTTATAGAATATCTTCAAACTTAAAGACCTATCAGCTTAAAATAGACTGCTACAGATACACACACACACACACACACACACACACCTCATGGTAACTACAGCTACAAACCTGCAAAGAACAAAGAGAAAGAAATCCAAACAAAATACTAAAGAAAAACAGCAAACCACAAGGGAAGAGATTAAGAGAAGAAGAAAGGAACAGCGGAGAACTATAAAACAACCAAAAAATAATGAACAAAATGGCAATACTTATCAATAATTACTTTACATATGAATGGATTAAATGCTCCAATAAAAAGACACAGGGTGGTTCTGTGAATTTGAAAACATGATCCACCTATAATAGTAATTAAAAAAACATGACCAATCTAATAAGAGACACTTCTAATTGAAAGACACATGCAGACTGAAAGTGAAGGGATGTAAAAAGATATTTCATGTGAATAGAAATGAAAAGAAAGCTGGCATAGGAATACTCATATCAGACAAAATAGACTTTAAAACATTTAAAAAAGACAAGGAGATAGCAATTATAAAGGGGTCAATCCAAGAAGAGGACATAACAATTGTAAATATCTACACATCTAACATAGGAGCACCTAACTTTATAAAGCAATGGTTAATGGGCATAGAGGGAGAAATCCAGAGTAGTACAATAATAGTTGGGGATTTTAATACCTCACACCAGTGAGATCGTCCAGACAGAAAATTAATAAGGAAATGATGGCCTCAACGATCACATTACACCAGATTAACTTAATAGACACTTACAGAACATTTCATCTAAAAACTGCAGATATATACATTTTTTTCAAGTGCACATGGAACATTTTCTAACATAGACCACATGTTAGGCTACAAAACAAGTCTCAGTAAATTCAAGAAGATTGAAATCATATCAAGCATCTTTTCCAACCACAGTGGTATGAAACTAGAAATCAACCACAGGAAGAAAACTGGAAAAACCACAAATACATGAAGACTATAAATAACATGCTACTAAACAACCAATGGATCAAAGAGGAAATCAAACAACAACAAAAAAATAAAGGGGGAAATAAATAAAGCTGTTTACTATTGGGGGGAGAGGGGGAGGGTAAAAGAACAAGAGGGGCATATGCTTCAAGTTTTAGCCAAAAAGAAAAAAGGGAGAGAGAGCTCCAATATCTGTGTGTGGTTTTTCAGTAAGGTGGAAAAAATGATTTTAACTAAAGACTTAAAAGTACCATTTAAAAAAATATAATAGATAAGGTGGGGATTGAAAAATCACAGTTAAATAATTAGATTAACTGAGAATTGGTGACAAATTCACAGTATACTAAGGAAAATGTAATTTTTGAATGTGCCCACATGAGTCACAAAAATGGACAAGGTAAATTAATTTAAAATTTCTGTACATTGTCAAATCTAATCTTAATGCAATAAAACAAAAAATAAAAGCAGAAATGACATATAGCCGAACATAGACATTTAGAAATATTTAATACTTGGGTTAGGGAGGAAGTCTAAAAAACATGAGAAGAATGTATCTTAAATTATGAATTTATGACAAAAAATTATAGTATACTGGTAATGTATTATATAATGTGTTGTATATAGAATTATGATGTACTGCTAAAAGATAGACAAAAATTGTATTCCTTTACTGTGATATATAAAAAGTAGTCTTTATCTTAAATACAGGGTAATAAACCAAAATAAAAAGGAAATAAAAATAAATATACTAATTACAGATGTAAACACAATAAAAATCTGATAAACAAAATCATAATTTATTTTAGTCTGGCCTTTGGCTGTAACAATAATTATTTAAAACCTACTTTTTCTACAAAAACGTTAGCTGAAATCTTTGTACATAATATCATTCTGCTGAGCAAGGAAAATAAGACAAAATATTTCACAATTATAATTTCAAATAATCATTTTAAAATACAGTGTAGAGTGTAATAAGGATCAATGCATTTATCTTTATAAAGTCACCTAATCAGAATACATTCATTCATTGTATACTTTTTTGTATCATGTTCCTAATTTTAGTAAGTAGTTTATTCATTCAGCCCACACACTGCTCCATTTTCTGTTAAGTGTTTTCAATGGTATGCAACAAATTGTCATTCTTGATTCTTGTGCCAGATGATTTAAAAAGAAACTCATTCAGGGGCAGATTTTTAACTTCAATGAAATATTTGTGGAACATCACTAACTAACTTTAGGGCTGTAGCCTTTAACAGAGATGAATTTGCCATCATCCTTATCCTTAGAAAATTACCTGACACTGAAAATTTCTTTCTGATGCTGAATTAACTGTCCTTCTGTCAACAGAGAAATAACCAAATTTTAGAGTTGATTCTTCATATTATGAATGAATTCTGTGTCCTAGTATGTTACTATGGTACAAATTCTGTTTAAAATCAAAAGTCCCTTTATCACCTTCATAGTTCTTTAGACTCTGAATGCTTTAAATAACAATCATAGCCCTGGCCGGTGGCTCAATGGTTAGAGCGTCAAGGGCATGTACCTAGGTTGCAGGTTCAATCCCTGGCCCCCGTTGGGGCTTGTGTGAGAGGCATCTCACTTCGATGTTTCTCTCTCTCTCTCTTCCTTCTCCCTCCCTACTACTCTCTGGAAAAATATCCTCCCATGAGGATTAACAAAATAAATCATTAAAACTCTTGTATTACAGACTTAGAAAAATAAAAAGGAAAAGTGGACAAGAGTTGACCTTCCGCTTATTTAGATTCTCTACTAATAGCTGTCTCTCCATTCCCAGGTTGTGCCAAGCCTGACATGTCCATCCATTCAGAATTAGGAAGTTTTCAGGGATAGGTGACAGAAACCTGATGCATAGGCCTCAGTGGGAAGTGGGGGAATGAGGAAGTGAGGAATTTGTGTTGCTCTGAGGATTAGGCATGGCTGCTCTGAAGTTGTTTTCTGGCTTCATACTCAGACACACTGGTAAGTGTGACAATAGGTGGCCCAGGACCACTTGGTCCATCAGCAATCTCAAAAGGATAGTGCCTCTTTCCAGATAGTTTCAGCAGAAATACAAAGGTGGCCTCTCACATATCCGTCACTGAACAACTAAGTGTGGCCATCCCCAACCCCTGTTCATGGACATTAGGTTCTTTTTAGTCTTTTGTTAATATTCACAGCACTGTTTCCCTATAGGGCAGAAAAAATAATACTAACTCTACCTAAAATACCACTGTAAAAATGACATTGTAATTTTCTTAACTCTTATACATGCTAGATTACTACAACTTTAAATCTGTCTAGGAAAATGATTACTTAAGGAAGTATGGTAGCCATCAGGGAAATGCAAATCAAATCCACCATGGTATACCACTTCATACAAACTATGAAGGAGGACTATGGTAAAAATGACATAATAACAGCTGTTGGCACGGTTGTGGAGAAATTTGAATCCTCACACAGTTGATGGGAAAATAAGATGGTGCAATTGTTGTGGAAAACAGTTTGGCAGTTTCTCAAATTGTTAAACGTAGAATTAACATATCATCCAGCAATTCCACTCTTAGGTATATACCTAAGAGGAGTGAAAACATATGTCCACACAAATGTTCATAACAGCCGAACCGGTTTGGCTCAGTGGATAGAGCGTCGGCCTGCGGACTGAAGGGTCCCGGGTTCGATTCTGGTCAAGGGCATGTACCTGGGTTGCGGGCACATCCCCAGTAGGGGGCGTGCAGGAGGCAGCTGATCGATCTCTCTCATCGATGTTTCTAACTCTCTGTCCCTCTCCCTTCTTCTCTATAAAAAAATCAATAAAATATTAAAAAAAAAACACACAAATGTTCATAACAGCATTATTCATAATAGACAAAAAGTGGAAACAATCCAATGTCCATCAAAATGTGGTATATCCGTATAATGGAATATTACTTAGCAATACAAATAAAATACTAATACATGTAACAACATGGATGAATCATGAAAACATGCTAAGTGAAAGGAGCTAGTCACAAAGAACCACAATTTGTATGATTCCATTTATATGAAGTGTCCAGAATAGGCAAACCCATAGGGAGAGGAGTGTGGAGGGGATGGAGGAGGATGTCCAAGAGTGTGGGGTTTCTTTTTGGAGTAATGAAGATGTTCTAAAATTGTGAGATACGTGCAACCCTGAATATAATAAAAGCCACTGAACTGTGTACTTTAAATGACTGAATTATATATGAGTTCTATTGCAAGCTGGTAAAGCATCTCAATAAATGTGTTCACATATTTTTGCTTTCAGTTCTTTCTACAACTTCAACAGGCGGCATTGGAGGTCTTTGCAGAGAATAACACTCTCAGTAAACTGCAGCTGGGACAACTAGCCTCTATGGAGAGCTCTGTCTTTGATGACATGATTAACCTGTTAGAGCGTTTAAAACATGACATGTTGACCCGTCAAGTAGACCATGTTTTTAGAGAAGTTAAAGATGCTGCAAAATCGTATAGAAAAGAAAGGTAAGTCCTCTGTATTTTCTTACAAGTCAACTTTCAATTCCAGTTTGATAAAAGTTAAAAGATGATATATATACCGTCAGATTTCCAAGATATCTAAATAGCACAGAGTTAGGCCTTTTGCACACCAAGCTTAGTTAACTGTTTCTGTCTAAAATATATTCATTCTTACTTATTTTCTTTTTATTGATTTCAGAGAGGAAGGGAGAGGGATAGAAACATCAGTGATGAGAGAAAATCATCTATCGGCTGCCTCCTGCATGCCCCCACTGGGATCGAGCCCACAACCTGGGCATGTGCCCTGACTGGGATTCGAACTATGACCTCCTAGTTCATAGGTCAACGCTCAACCACTGAGCTACACTGGCCGGGCTAAAATAGATTCACTCTTAATCAGAATAAACTGACCATAATTTAACCTTCAGATGTGTCCGTAAATACAGAGAGCTGATGTATGGTATGAGTTGAATGGCCTAGCCCAGTGGTCGGCAAACTCATTAGTCAACAGAGCCAGATATCAACAGTACGATTGAAATTTCTTTTGAGAGCCAAATTTTTTAAACAAACTATATAGGTAGGTACATTGTTATTAATTTAATTAGGGTACCCCTAAGCTGGCCTTTGCTAAAAACGTCCTCAATCTGAGGGATTGACCTCAGCGAACGTACCCCCACTTCTTCTAAATGCCACTCCTTCAAATAGACTTGCCCAGGCCGAAAACTGACTTCTGCCCATGGGCCACGAAGTTTCAATCACACTGTACGTGCGTGCCCGCACGTGGTATTTTGTGGAAGAGCCACACTCAAGGTGCCAAAGAGCCGCATGTGGCTCGCGAGCTGCAGTTTGCCGACCACTGCCTAGCCTGTCACCCATTTTCAAAGTAAGGGGCTGCTGCAGTCCTTTGTGCATGCTTGTATTGTCCAGTTCATTCTCCTGCCATAACTCCCTGTGGACACCTGTTACCTCCACTAGACTGAGGTCCTTGACAGCAGCAATACCTTTTTGTCCTAGCACAGTCCTAACCAACTTGAAAGTGTAGTCCCTGTTTTGCTAAAAATTAGAGCATAAAATTAGCTGTTATCTTAAATGCTAATATGTTTTACATTTTAACTGTCTTAAAATTATTTCAATAAGTCCTCTTTGGGGATTTAAAAAATTTAATCAAGCCCTAACTGGTTTGGCTCAGTGGATAGAGCGTCGGCCTGCGGACTGAGAGGTCCCAGGTTCGATTCTAGTCAAGGGCATGTACCTTGATTTCGGGCACATCCCCAGTGGGGGGTATGCAGAAGGCAGCTGATGGATGTTTCTCTCTCATCAATGTTTCTGACTCTCTATCCCTCTCTCTTCCTCTCTGTAAAAAATCAATAAAATATATTTAAAAAAATTTTAATCTATCATCTTCACTAAATAAACAATATTTGAGAGCTAAAGTATAAATATATGTATATTTATTTTTCTGAGTTTTAAATGCTGTACATCTTTTCTTATTCAAAACTAGTGCCCCAGTGCATGAATTCGTGCACATTGAAAGGAAATTAATTAGAAGAAATATTTTAATATCGCTATTCGCCCATTCTCAATAGAAGTTTCAACCAAATTCACTATAGACAATGACAGATCGAAACACACATGTGCGATTGGCGCCAGCGAGAACTTTATATGTATCACACATGTGCGAGTCAACTTAGCCTTTTGTATACATATAGAATAAAGTTGCTTAAGTAGACCTGCTTTCTGATTTAGCTAAACTTTTTTTAGCCAGTGAAGCACCCCAGCTTCTCTTTCAGGTAATTGTCAGCAACATAGCAGTAAATATCAACACAAAGCAGATTATTATTGTAGACCATGCAGGGAGAACAAAGGGTAAAATATTTAACTGCATCAGTGTTTAATTATATTCTGCGCAGTGAGAAAACCTGAAGTCATTTTCAAGGTCCCCCATTTCCAACTTCTTTTCAGTTGGGTCAAGTTCCTAAGCTTTCTAAATCTCCGTTTTCTGGTAATGAAAAGAAAATAGGATTCCACTGAGTCTCCTATCTGCCTACTCTAGGAATCCTGTGAGGATCAAATGAGATGAGGCATGGGAAAACACTTCACAGACATTTGGTTAAAATGTAAAATGTTTGCACCTGGCTATAATGCAAGTCATGTTCCTGGGCTGACGAAACTCCAAGGAGGCTAGTCGCTAGGGAGAGGAATCCAGATGTTGCTACATGATGTCATTACCCGGCGCCCACAGCCACCGTTTCTGGGCTGGGCTGGGCTGGGCTGTGGGCCACATTTTGCGCCATGGGGTCTTGGCAGCGTCGGCTGCGATTTGGTGGGCTGTTGCTCCGGGGTGGTGGTGGGGCCTGTGTCCCACTTGGAGGAAGCTGAGTGTTGCTTTGTGGGTGCCAGGTCCGCAGTGCCATTTCTCTGTAAATGGCCAATGCGCATCACAGCAGCTCCTACATTGAGCGTCTGCCCCCTGGTGGTCAGTGTGCATCATAGCAACCAGTAGGACAGTTGGACACTTAGCATATTAGCCTTTTACATATAGACTAGAGGCCCAGTGCACGAATTCGTGCATGGGTGGGGTCTGGCTGGTCCGCCCCGATGGGGGCAGATCAGGGCCAGGATGGCAGGACGGAGGGGATGCAGGAGGTTGGCCAGCCAGCCCTGCCCCCGATCAGGGTGGGTGGTGGCCAATCAGGGGAGGGGCCAGCCCAGGAGTGGGGCCGAGGGAGATTGGCCAGCTGGCCACACCCCCAATCAGGCCGGTTGGCCAGCTGCAGTCTGGTAGTTCCAGTCGTTCTGGCATTCCTGTTGCTGGCTTTTTATATATATAGATAGATGCCTCAGGACAGTGCACTTCCCCAAATTTAAAATTCGTTAAATCTTTAAAAACACAAAGTGATGAAAATGTTTATGGTAAAAATGAATGTGCTACAGGCAGTGCTGCTCTTGTTTTCCCAGGTGGTTGTCCTTGCCCTCTCAGTCTGAGCAGGCAGTCATGTCCCTGTCCAGCTCGGCTTGCCCCCTCCTGCTTACGTTACGAGACCGTTTACTTCAGTTGGAACAGCAGCTTTGCTTCTCTTTATTTAAAACTTTCTGGCAAATGCTCGTAGAGAAGCTGGATATATACATCTACCAAGAAGTAAGTAAGGAGAAGACTATTTGGGGGCTATGATGATGAAGGCAACTGTGATATGAATTATTCTTTGTTTCAGATCATTCTTGCTAATCATTTCAATGAAGGAGGAGCAGCGCAGTTGCAGTTTGACATGACTCGGAATCTTTTCCCTTTGTTCTCCCACTATTGCAAGAGACCAGAAAATTACTTTAAACAGTAAGCTCAGTTTTTAACAATTGAGTTTGATGTATCAAATCCTGAGAGGAGGTTAATTCCTTTTTTAACAACTTTAGGGTTCCAATGATGTTAAATGTATATAGCATCAAATAAAAATTTTATATGTTCATTGTGTATCAGAATAATACAGGGTGGGGTAAAAGTAGGTTTATAGTAGTTAATATGGAAAATAATACAATAATTAAGAAATAATAATACTAATACAAGAATAAACTATGGTTCACATACTCACAACTGTGAACCTACTTTTGCCCATCCTACATTTGACCCATGACCCCAAAAAGTCCACCAGCACTGGATATAAATTATAGTTGGGCTTTCTTTTCTAGCATTTGCTTTAATACTCTGATTTGCTTATTACTAGAGAAATAAATAGAAAAATGAAAGCAAGGTCAGTTCTACCATAGTTGATAAATGTAAGAAATTAAAAATATGTTTAGTATCTAATAACAGGCCAGGCTTGAAGAAAATTCTTGTTTTTAAACATTTGACATTAATTTTAGTTCTAAGTATATAATTATAGGAAGAATTCTTAGAAGTATTTTTAGAAATTATTGATGTAAAATTTGAATTGTTTGGGTCTTTCTGAGATTATAAAATATTCTTTTTTATAAAATGAAAGATTATTTTTGCTCATTTCAGTAAGCTTTCTATTTCTGTTTTTTGTTTTGTTTTAGTAGTCTACCTTTCTACTGCATTCATTTCATCCCTTAATTTTCTCTTTTCCCATATCCTAATCTACCTAGAGTCTTAGCTACATTTAATAGACTGTTAATATCAAATATTGTATTTTGGGAAGTAATGGATACTATTGAAAACGGTGATGCTATTACCTTATAGTAACCTGATGAAATATAAACTCTGTACACATACATAGTCCTAATATGTTAAAAGAACCAAATAATAAATCCATACATAGTTTTTATTGAGGGCACATGACTAGAGGTGCAGGAAAGCTCTTTAGTTTCTCAGAATGAAATTGTTATAGAATAATGTGGATGATAAAGATAATGGAGATCTCATTTCCTTCCTGCTTTTTTTATACAGTGTAAAAGAATCCTGTATTATTTTGAATTTGAACATTGGTTCTGCACTACTTCTGAAAGATGTCCTGCAGTCAACTTCTGGGCAGCCTCCTGCCACAGCAGCATTAAATGAAATTGGAATTTACAAACTGGCTCCACAAGATGTTGAGATTCTACTTAATTTGAGGACAAACTGGCCTAACACTGGAAAATAGTGCATCTTCCCCTCCCCGCCTTTTTTGAACAAAGAGGAAGCCAACTGGATTAAGTTAAACGATGAAGTTCCGAATTAATGAAGCTGGATAACTGAAAACTTTATAGAATCATTTATTACCTTTGACTTACAGTGTTATTAAAATGCTGACCATATTTTCTGAGCCCTTTTGTCCCTAAGAAAACAAAAACAGAAAACTCAGAAGCCATGGAAACTCAGATATAAATGCTGAATATGTGTTAAATAAAATACAAGTGCAGAGATAATAAATTATAACCAAATTTCAATTTCCTATGTTAACTAAGGGAGACTATTGTGGATAATCAAGCACAGCAAATAAATTTTAAAAAAATCACTTTAGAATGCATGTTTGTAATTGAAGTTCCTGTATCTAGTTTGGAAATTCACTGTATTTCTTGTAAGAAAACACATTAAGAGATAGTGACTAAAATAGGATTGCTCTCATTTACCACAAATGTCCTTCCATTTAAAATACTTCCTTGTTTTAGTCCACATGTCTGTGGGCAACCTTTTCTTTTGGATGAAACATTTCAGGCCAGAGCACTGTGCTTTAATCATCCGAGGGGTAGGGAATGTAATTAAACAATTTTTGTTTAATACGTATGTAACTGATAATGAGATGGGAATATTAAACTTTCTAACTTTACCTTGGCCTTGGATTATGTTAATGATTTCTTGTGAATAAATGCTCAGTGAGTAAAACTTTTAAACAAACTGAGTTAGACTAGTCTTTCTTCAACTACCAAATTTTATTCCAATGGTTTTTTTTTTCTGATTTAGCATTTACTTAATACTTTTTATGTTGTAATACTTCAAATTTTAAATAGTCAGTCTGGCATGCAGCCTATACTGTTGATAAACACTTTGTGCTAAATAATTTTGAGGAAATATTTTGAGAGAAATTCTATAACCCTATTTTATACTGAGAGTTTCCAACTAGTGTATTGCACTCAAAGCTTTTCTGTTAGTCCTTCTAGCAAATGGGGCTTTTCTATCTCATTCTTTGAGAATTGCTGGGGTTTCCCATTAAGGAAATGAAGCTGCCTCTGAAACTTCCTAACTCCAGCGTTTTCTCTCTCCCCTCTCCCCAGGCTCAGGAACTTTTCTGTCATCCCTCCCTGTCCTCACTTGCTAGTCAGCTGAAAGTTTCTATCAAAAGATAGGAACCTGGCCCTGGCTGGTATGGCTCGGTTGGGTGTTGTCTGTGCACTGAAAGGTTGCTGGTTTGATTCCTGGTCAGGGTACATGCCTGGGTTGCAGGCTCCTCCATCCCCGGAAGAGGGCGTGCAGGGGGCAGCTGATTAATGGTTCTCTCTCATTTATGTTTCTGTCTCTCTCCCTCTCCCTCCCTCTCCCTTCCTCTCTCTAAAAATCAATTTAAAAATTAAAAAAAAGGTTAGGATCCTGTTTTAAAAGATATTAATTGTACTTCAAAACCATATTCTTTAAATATTACTCATTAGAAAATGAACTTACACTTCATCCTTGAATTTCTCCAAAGTTATTCCACGTCCATCATCTTTTAAATCTTCATCTTCAGTTAACAGACCCAGGTTCTCGAGGGCTGTAAAAGTCAGAATCAGAAGGAAAGTTTACAAAGCAGATCATTTTTGGCTAGAGAAAGTTATGGAATGACTGCTAACTGTTACCTCGGTTTGCATTAGACACTGACCTCCTTTGTACTGCACAAATGATATGCTGCCTCTGCCTGCGGAGTCCATCATCTCAAACATAGCCACAATGTTACTGTGATCCATAAAGAAAGGGAAAGACAGACCTGTTGCTTTAGCAAGTCTCAGTCGTTCCAATAGAGATATTAAATACTCTCTTGGCTTAGCTGTAAAGAAAAAAAAATAGTTCCAATTCTTTTTGATATGAAATTAAAATATGTCACAAATGGATACAGTCATTTAACAATTATTAAGTTGTTAAATGGTTCAAGGTACTGTACTGTGCACTGGGGATAGAGACCTAGCTTGTGAGAAAGGCAAGATACTGAAAACTTAATTACATACCAGTAATCTGTGCTCTGCCACAGATTATTGAATAAAAAAAAGTCAAGAGACCAGATCTGGGTTTGTTTTTTGTTTTTTTCCCCCCAAAAGCTCTTCAGGTGATTCTAATATGCAGACAGAGTTGAAAACTATTAAGAATACTGAAACAGCCCTGACCGGTTTGGCTCAGTGGATAGAGCGTTGGCCTGTGGACTGAAGGGTCCCGGGTTCGATTCCGGTCAAGGGCATATACCTTGGTTGCGGGCATATCCCCAGTGGGCGGTGTGCAGGAGGCAGCTGATCGATGTTTCTCTCTCATCGATGTTTCTGGCTCTCTAATCCTCTCCCTTCCTCTCTGTAATGAAATATATTTAAAAAGAAAAAGAACCACTGTAAAAAAATCAATAAAATATATTTAAAAATAAAAACGAATACTGAAACAGCATGATGCAGGAAAGAAGGTGGCCAACTGAAAAAAGGGATAAAATAAAAATAAAGACTATTCCAATTAGGAGGCATAGAATAAAAAAAAGTCAAGAGACCAGATCTGGGTTTGTTTTTTGTTTTTTTGTTTTTTTCCCCCCAAAAGCTCTTCAGGTGATTCTAATATGCAGACAGAGTTGAAAACTAAGAATACTGAAACAGCCCTGACCGGTTTGGCTCAGTGGATAGAGCGTTGGCCTGTGGACTGAAGGGTCCCGGGTTCGATTCCGGTCAAGGGCATATACCTTGGTTGCGGGCATATCCCCAGTGGGCGGTGTGCAGGAGGCAGCTGATCGATGTTTCTCTCTCATCGATGTTTCTGGCTCTCTAATCCTCTCCCTTCCTCTCTGTAATGAAATATATTTAAAAAGAAAAAGAACCAAAACCGGGACCCTTCAGTCCATGGGCCGGCGCTCTAACCACTGAGCACCTGGCTAGGGCTACTTTTCTTTTATATGTGTATGAAATTTTCAATGATAACATAAGTTTTTAAAAAGAATTATATATAACTACATATATATGTGCATGTATATACATATGTATATATGTAAAGCCTAGGATTGCAATATAATGATGGAGCAGTAGGTGTGGCATTTGTCATCTAAGCTGCTCCACCTTAACTTCTTCTGGCTTCTTTTCATCAGAAGTGACCTGCATTATTTCTGGAAAATGGATTTGATTTTTCATTTTTCACATTGCTTAAATGAAAGATAGCCTATTTATCTGAGCCAAACCGGCTAGGGTCCGGGTTCGATACCTTGGTTGCAGGCTAGATCCCTGGCCCCTGTCGGGGCACGTGCGGGAGGAAACCAATCAATGTGTCTCTCTCACATCAATGTTTCTGTCTCTACCTCTCCCTCTGGTGAGAATAAATATATAATAATAAAAGCATAATATGCTAATTAGACTGAACGTCCTTCCAGACGACCTTCCGGATGAAGCCAGGGCTGCAAGGGAAGCCTGGGTCCCAGGTGCCAGAGGGAAGCCAGTGCCAGCAGCCTGGAGAAGGAAGGTCTACTCTTGCACGAATTTCGTGCATTGGGCCTCTAGTAAATAAATAAAATAAAAGTAGAAAAGTATAACGAACATTACCAACTTCAACTTGTGCCCGTCTTATTTGACCATAATCTCATCCAGTTCCCCTTTTCCTATGTTATTTTGAAGTAAATCATAGCAATCATATTTCATTAATAAGTATTTGAATGTATATCTCTAAAAGATAAGGTCTCTTTTAAAAAAAAATTTCTATCGACTTTAGAGAAGAAGGAAGAGGGAGAGAAAGAAACATCAATGATGAGAAAGAATCATTGATCAGCTGCCCCTCTACTGGAGATTGAGCCTGCAACCCGGGCATGTGCCCTGACAGGGAATTGGACTGTAACCTCCTGGCTCATAGGTCGAAGCTCAACCACTGAGCCACACCAGCTGGGCTAGTTCTTTTTTTTTACTTCTTGTATATACGCCTTGACTGGGGATCGAGCCTGCAACCTTGGCCTACAGGGATGATGCTCAACTGAGCTACCTGGCCAGGGAGGGCCCTCCAGTGCTTTTTTTAAAAAAGTGCATTCCTTTTTTTCTTCTTTTTTTAATCCTCACCTAAGGATATGTTTTTATTAATTTTTAGAGAGACAGGAAGGGAGAGAGAAAGAAACATTGATGTAAGAGAGAAACATCCATTGGTCGCCTCCCAAATGTGCCTGACCAAAAACTGAACCCAAAACCTCGGTACGTGTCCTGACCGGGAATGGAACCGCAACTTTTTGGTGTACAGGAGAATGCTCTAACCAACTTAACATTTGATGAATATAACTTACAGTGGAGCCCTTTAGTATACCATCATGCCTATACACAGAGATCTTCCTACCATCTTTTTGGTGCCTCACTCTTTAATATAAATGGATAGAAAAAGGATCATGTGACATTTGAAGAAAGTCTCCAACATGAACTACAGAAACTAAAACAAATAAAAAACAACAACAACAAAGCCCAGGGGAAACAGAAATAGGACAGACGGAATAAAATCAAATGTCAAAGTAGGTTGTGGGGGTTGGGGCCCATGCCGGAGGCAATCAATGGATGTTTCTCTCTCACGTGGATATTTCTCTCTCCCTTTCTCTCTCTCAAATCAATAAATAAAAAATGTAAAAGAATGCATTCCTTTGTACTCCCCCACCACTATTTATTTTTATTTGTTGCAGAGTTTCTATTGTTTTATCGATTTAAAAGAACTAGAGAGTGCTTGATTACCCTAAACATGATCATATTGGTTGGGTGGGGCAAAGTTGGAATGTTTGGTATTTCCATTTCCTTGAAGGAAGAGGTGGATAAATTTGGCATTTTGGACACTTCTTGTGGAGAGAGGCCGGCAAGGTAAAATTTTGCATTTGGGTAAAAGGACATCAACATAACTTTCATCTTAACGTAATTTTGAAATCATCGCACAAAAATTAAGAAATGTTTCAAGTTTTTAAAGGGGGTCAGAGGTGTAAAAATGTCAGGAAAAGACCTCCTCCAAAACACCGATCCATCTTGCACTAACAATTGTTTAGCTCTCTTACCAGATTAAAAACTCGTTGAGGTCGGGGTAACATTGGAAACACCTGTTCCTTGCGAGACATAGGGGCAATTCATTTATTTATTCTTCCCCACGTTTCCCCGAGATCGGCACCACTACCCCCATTTTCCAGAAAAAGGAGACTGAGGTTCAGGCTTTTGCCCCGTCACATAGTAGTAACAGGTGGAGCCCTCCACCTGGCCGAGTCCCGCGGCACCCTGGCTGGTGGTAGGCACAAAGGGGCCGTTCACTAAGCATTTGTCTAATTGAAGGCCACAGCCTTAATTGGCAGCAGAAGGGCTCCGAACGCGGGGGCGCCCGGCTGGACGAGCGGCTGCACCGTGAATTTCTGGGAACTGCTGCTTGTGAGGAGGCGGGTGGGACAGAAAGCCGAGTGGTAGGCAAGACCCTTACTTGGCTGGAAAAAGAGCAGGTTACTGGTGAGATAGTTCAGCAACTCCATAATCCGATGTTTTTCCAAATATTTCCTGGCCTGGAGCTCCCGGCTGTTGTTCTCCATCTCGCCGCGTTAGGCCGTTGCTAGGCGACGAGGAAGCTTTGCGGCAGTTGGACTCCTCAGCCCCCCCCCGCCCCTTGCCCCTTCCCCATCCTAATGGGGGCTTACGCTGGGCCTGATGGTCTTTTCCTGTGCTCGGTACTTGTGAGGCGGGTTAGTCAGAAGCTAGGAAATTCCTTGGCAAGTGGACTAGGGAAACTGAGACAGATAGCAGTTTATAGCCAGACACAGGTCACCTCCCTGGAGATAACGTCTAGGTCTCAGTTGTGTTTCAGCTCCAGGCCCAGGAAAGCGGTAAACCAGACAGGTTATCCCTGGGCCGACCTCAGGAGTAGCTGCACTGACTGAAGTCCCCCTGCCCCACTGAGCTGTGAGTGGAGACCAGGATCCTGAAAGGACCCACCTGGGAAGCTGATGAATATTCTGTTGAGACCTCCCCTATGGTCTCCATCCTTTAAAGCTTTTAGGAGGACCCAGAAAGCTCTCCCCCCGGGGAGTATGCCTGTGCCTTTCCCCTCCCCTTCACCCCTCACAGACATGCATCTCCTAAACCAGTGATGGCGAACCTATGACACGCGTGTCAGAGGTGACACGCAAACTCATTTTTTTGGTTGATTTTTCTTTGTTAAATGGCATTTAAATTGTTTGTTTTTTCTACTGATTTTCACTCACTGTGAATTGCCTTACCATGGGTTTCATAATATTTGATTGTCAGCTCATTGTTTCCATTTAATCAGTGGGAGTTTCATTGGCAAAACTTGGGGAAGCTTTTCTCTAGGCCTTTTCAAATGATCTGAATTACGACCGTTCAATAAATACAAAACTGAAAACATTATGAGATGAAAGAATTATGTCCAGAACCAAGCCATCGTAAGAGGAGCCAACAAAAATGCTCTCATAGAAAGCAGTCTTAGCATTCCATAAACATTACTGTACCCAGAAAGCAAGAACTGATGTAGATTAAAATAGCAGAACCTAGAGCAGTGGTTCTCGACCTTGGCTGCACATTAGAATCACCTGGGAATCTTTTTAAAATCCTGATTTCTGGGCCTCATCCTCCGGAAATTCTGTTTCTTTGTTACTAATGTTGTGGCCCCCATTAGTAACAAAGAAACAGAATTTCCGGAGGATGAGGCCCAGAAATCAGGATTTTAAAAAGATTCCCAGGTGATTCTAATGTGCAGCCAAGGTCGAGAACCACTGCTCTAAGGGACCCCCCACAAGACTTGTAATCAGGGCAGCAATGGACAGCAGCAGTTCCTCCTCAGGAAACCCGTTTCTGACTTCTTAGTGAGCCCAACCTAGGCGCACTTGCCCAGTCCTTTCTTTCTTTTTTTTTTTTTAAATATATTTTATTGATTTTCTACAGAGAGGAAGGGAGAGAGATAGAGAGTATATAGAGTTAGAAACATCGATGAGAGAGAAACATCGATCAGCTGCCTCCTGCACATCTCCCACTGGGGATGTGCCCGCAACCCAGGTACATGCCCTTGACCGGAATCGAACCTGGGACCCTTCAGTCCGCAGGTCGACGCTCCATCCACTGAGCCAAACCGGTTTTGGCAGTCCTTTCTTGTTTTACTCCCCCCAGCTTTAATAAACATCCTCTAAAAAAATCACCTGGACTCGTGAGTGTTTTCCTACACGATATCAAGAACCCACACACTACTGGCTGGCCCTAGGCAGACCTGCTTAGGGCCAGGTCACCTTTCCGGTAACACTTGTTGATCCAATGAATGAGACCTGGTGTGCTAATAACACAGAAGGAACTTGTGTAATTCTGGAGGGGCCCTGAGCATCTGGGAGATGCTCTGTCTTCAAAGTCTGGAGGAGGTGTTCTGTGGAGGGAAGGAACTCATTCTCTCAAGTGACTTGAAAACTGTGTACCCCAATCTGCACCACGGCTTAGGTTTGTAAGGAGAATATTTCAGAAGAATGTAGGAAAGTGCTTTGTAAACTGCTAGCAGCAGAATCCTTCAAAGAAATTATAAGTGGCCCTGGCCGGTGTGGCTCGGTTGAGTATCGCCCCATGCACCCAAAGGTTGCTGTTTTCATTCCCAGTCAGGGCACATACCCAGGTTGCAGGTTTTATCCTGGGGTGTGTACAGGAAGTAACCGATTGACGTTCCTCTCTCTCTCTAAAATCAATACAAACATATTTTTTAAAAAGAAAGAAATCATAAGTGGCATCCCCACATGTAGAGCAGATGGAAGCGAGCACTACGCTGGGTTCACAGGGGCCCATTATCTAAGGTACTTCAGCTGTGCCTCCTCACAGAGCCATGGCCGAGTGATCCTGGTGCCAGAATTAACTGGAGACTGGGGAGCTGTGACAGAACTAAGCTGACAAAGCAGATGCGTTGCTCCGGGGCCTGCGGACCTGAGGGCCCACTTGGGCCTCTGGTTCCTGATGGGTTCTGGGGAGAACTGAAAATCTATTGATGTGGGCTGTTTACTCCTCCGTGTGTTTTGGTCCATCCTTTGGGGACTTGCTTTATGTTCCCTGATGTGAAGCACAAACAGCATACCTAAATAAAGTGTCCCCCTTTAAATCATGACCGCCTACCTGCTTGACCCTTAAAGGGTTGACTAAATGTGTGTGATCACTTAGGAAAGTGACTGTGGCTCCGCAAAGCAGAAGCCAGACTGTGGCAGGGGGACTAAAACGGAGAGGGACCCCTGCAGAGAGGTAATGGCTACAGAAAGCAGCAGAGGAGGACCTGAGTCACAGCAAACAGAGGGGGCCGGTCATGGTGTCCTGTGACTGAGTGGCTTAGGAGAAGCAAAGTAAAAAATGTAAGCAACGTTCCTCAAGGGAGAGGAGACTGCGTGATCTGGAGGCAGTGATTTCTGCTCCGTGGTGCAGGCTCTAGACATGTGGTCTTCTCCTCGAGAACTTCCTGTACTTATTCTCCGGGAGTGACTCCGTCCTGAATCAGTAGCTCTGACCTTTGAACCTCAAACGACACTGAAATGGCAACAATCGAATTCACTCTGCCTATAAAGTCAGACCCAGGAGAGCACATTGGACCCTGCTGACGTCTTCCCAAGTTGCTGATCCTTTTCATGCCTACAAGCCCGGGTATCTTTGTCTGCTCAGCACTCCCTTTCACGACATCCCTCAGGCAGCCAGGCTCCAGTTCCTCTGGAGATCATGCTGAAGAGAAGTGTCCAGATGCCCCCTAGTGGAGCCAGCTATTCCTGCTGAAGCCATCTCTTTAGCCAGTTTGGGTTTTTTTTTGTTGTTTTTTTTTAAAAATATATTTTATTGATTTTTTACAGAGAGGAAGGGAGAGCCAGTTTGGGTTTAATAAATCCTTGTAACACTTCTCCCTTCTCCAACTCTTTGCCCTCCATGTCCTTATTACCGCAAATCCTTTCGGTGGTTTGGGAGTGTAACGCCAGGAAAAGGCGTTAGTGCCGCGGTTCTCACCAGGACCACACCTGAGAACCACCTGAAGGCAAGAAGCACCGGCCTTGGCCCCATTCCAGGCCATGAAATTGAATCTCTTGGGTTAGGGCCTGACTATTGGGAGTTTCATGGTGGATGTTGTTGTTTTCAACAGCTTTATTAATATTTAATAAACGGTACCTATTTAAGGTGTTTGTTTATTTATTTATTTTAATCCTCACTCGAGAATATTTTCTCCATTGCTTTTCAGAGAGTGGAAGAGAGAGGGAAAGACAGAGAAATATCAATGTGAGAGAAACACATGGATTGGTTGCCTCCTGCACGCGCCCTGACCAGGGCCTGGCCCGGGAGGAGCCTGCAACCGAGAAACGTGCCTTTGACCGGAATCAAACCCGAACCCTTTGGTCCGCAGACTGACGCTCTATCCACTGAGCCAAACTGGCTAGGGCAGGTATACTCTTATTTTAAAATTTAAAATGGGATAAATGGTGATCAAGGACACTTGACTTGGGGTGGTAACCACACAATACAATATACAGTGGATGTATTGTAGAAGTGTACACCTGAAACTTGTATAATTTTATTAACCAACTAGATGCCCGATGCATGAAATTCATGCAAGGGACTCAGCCCTCAAAGCCCCTCGCAGCCCGGCTGCCTTGGCTGGCCCTCGCAGCCCCAGCTTCGTCCGGAAGGTCATCTGGACGTCATTCTGCTGTTTGGTCTAATTAGCATACAGTGGGGCCTTGACTTACGAGTGTTCTGACTAACGAGTTTTTCGAGATACGAGCTGTCTCTCGGCCGATTTTTTGCTTTGAGTTGCGAGCTAAAATTCGGGTTATGAGCCAGCTTCAGATACCCCACCGCTAGTTGGCGCAGTGAACGTCACAGTGAACGCCACAACATCAGCCCAGCATCACATGTCTCACTCGTTCACTTTAATGATTTGACATATGAGTAATTTGAGTTACGAGCTCCGTCACGGAACGAATTGAACTTGTAAGTCAAGGCCCCACTGTATTAGCTCTTTATTATATAGGATGTCACCTCAATAAATTCAATAAAAAAGAACATATTATATAAATTTTTAAAGAAAGTATTTTATTCACTTATATGGTAAATACCGTCCCCTACTAAAAAACAATGACATTTGTCCTACAATCTGTTAAACTTAGCTAGAACATTCATATCTTTTTTATAGCACATGTTAACATGATATAGGATGCAGGATGCAAAAATCAATTTAATAGGCATTATTAAATAACTTCACACATATGTAGAATCTTGGAAAAATGGTTAAAATTACAGATGAATGTTAAAGGTGGACACATGAATATTCTGAATACACCAGTGAACTTAATAGAGGATGTGTTTTCACTGATCTCTGCTAACCAACTTGCTGTCAGTGAATCTTCAAATACCCATTTCCAAATCTTCCAGTTCCTGGAGAAGGGCTTTCTCTTTTTGAATTTTCTCCAACTGATGAGCTCAAATTAAAAATGCAGAAAATACCTGATTTTTTTCTAGCTGTTTTCCAGTTGCTGCTTGTTCTTTCAGTTGTTCGATTGCTTTCAGTTTCTCCTGTAGGTTCTGG